TTGAAATAAGACAATGTAATTGTGTTTTCTTATTTTAAATGTAAATTGTCTTGTTTTATTGGCAAAATATGTCTTTTACCTTCTAAATTCAAGAACAAATGCACTTATTTTAAGAAATAATGACTTATCTAGATTTAGATTTTTTCCAGTGTAATGCTGCACAGATCTGGAATAAACTCCCAGAAAGCTGTAAAATAACTGAAATTCTCATTTGCTTTATATTGAAATAAACTTATTTGTTTAGAGTACACTTTGACTGTGCTATCTAAACATTATTAATTTTCCAGTCTAAGTTGTGCTCTATTTTCTTAATTACTTTATTTGTTTTAAATGTGTATGATCATTTAATGTTTTCTATTAATTCTCCTGATTTTATTGTGTCACTTTTTTTCTCTTTAACTAGGTTTGTTGTCTTTAACTAGGTTTGTTGTCTTTAACTAGGTTTGTTGTCTCTATGTCGCTGCAATGTGCTTTTCTGACTGTCTCGCTACTGAAATGTGGCTGAATAGACATCTTTATATCTGAAACATGATACCCGCTAGTTTTTTCTTTGCCTTTAAAGTTCCAGAGGAAAGTGGAAATAAAGCTTAGATAAGCCAACCAAATTTGTTTGCTCAAGAAGATTGTTTTATAAAAAAAAGTTTAATAAAAGTGACATATGCAAGTTTCAGGCCCTGCTTTGGTTTGCATGCTTTAAAATTGAGACTCATGTTTGAAGAATCTGTCAACATTATCATCATTTTATGGAAAAGCAGCAGGATCTTTGTTTTCTTCAAACTCAACCACAAGAAATGAGCTGTTCTGCCTCAGTAATCATTTCAAAGGTGTTGATCTATCTGGTCTAATGAACCAAAACTGGACCAATATGAAATTATAATGTGTGGTATTATCATGAATACCTGATCCTCATTATGCAATGTGGTATATTCATAAAATCAAAATCTAAATGACATTTACTTTCCTGAAAGTTTATGTTCCCAGCTTCTCCGTCCAGCTGAATCAAGACAGAGGCAAGACAGAGGAAGTATTTTGTAAATAAAAGTTGTTAAAAATTTTCATCTAGATATAGAAAAATTATACAGACACAAGATGCATGCTTGCTATTGAAACATAATAAATATATACAGTTAAGTTTCAATTTAAGCCATTTGAATAAATACAGTTTGGAAGAATGGTTAAAGCACAGACTTTAAATGTTAAACACAAGTATGATAGTTTTTTGAAAACATTTTTATTTATCTTTTAACAAATCGATGCATTTTTGTTCCACAGCTCTCTGGCTAAGTGAAATTATTCTGATGCAAGAGGTTATTTATTTTTTGTTTCTACTGTTTTAGTTGCTGTGCTATATTTAATTTTTTTCTCAATTGGTATATTTGGGTCAGTTTGGATTTTTTATGCCAATGGCTGTATTGTTTGTTCGGGTCAATATTTATTGTAGAAAACAACAAAAAACTTAAAGACGTTCTGGATTCTGGTAGCTTTATTTTATCTTTCAATTAAAAAGGTTATGATTTTAAGTGTGAACGGCAAATATGAGATGCACAAAAAAATTATTTTACAGAGTAATTTGTGATTTTGTTTCAATAACATTTTTTAAATGAGAAAATGTAAATAAAAAAAAATGTTGACTGTATTTCATAATATTTCATGGTTTGTTGTGTCACTAGTAGGTTTCTTTTGTACTTTGGAGAGAGAATAGACGGCAGAGAGTCTCAGGGTCAGGACTCCCACATAGCCTCTGTAAAACATTCGCCACATGTGAATAGGTCGAGGCTAAAGTGTTAAAGCCTTCTTTTCACAGATCCACGCCCTGGTTTCATTACAGCGCACTGATTTCCATCCTTTAGTGTTAGTGAGAGTAGTCACACAATGACCATCAATTGCAGGCTGCTGCTGTATCCAGGTTCTAAGAAAAAAAAAACAGCTTTTAGATCAAGGTTAATAGATTTGCTTTTTACAAAGTGTGTCAAATAATGTATTTCTCACTGATTGATTAGATCACTTCCATCGATCCATCTCCATGTTCCATTTACAGCTCTGAGGCCGATCCAGTATCCTGTGATGCCTTTTATAGCTGGAATGATATCTTTTAAATATTCCTGAGAAAAAAAAAACAGACACAGTTTAATTTTATCATTACCTTCTGTCTCTATGAAAATAAAGTTTTAATGACATTGATAA